TAATGCGTAAGATATAAACAGACATATGCACGCAGTAGTTATCACTTTGATTCACCAAAAGAGAGATCCTATCTGTCAGGTCAATAATCTTCGTGTTTTAAGTAATAATGTTGCGTGTATGATGTGCTGTTAGAATATTTAAGGTCACCATGTGCGTTAGTTTGATGATGTCCATGAAGTTAGCTTATGAAAGATTATTATGTTAAACCTTACAGGTGAATTAATTTCGACATAATGATAAACATTTGAGTGGTACTAGCTTTGGTTCAAGATGTCAATTAATTCTTGATTGTCAGTAATCGATTCAATTGATGGAAATTATATATTAAACGTGGGGAGTGAAATAGTGTTGTTAGTGTACCGAAACATTATTTAAATTATTTAGCAGACCACAATTAGGACCAATATTTCAGAAGCCCACATTATCACCTCCTTAGGGTCCCTGCTATATATTATTAAGCTCATGGGGTTGGAGACACAAGAAACCGCACGCTTACACCTTCGACCGACCCTAGTTCTCCCGAGCTTTATCTCCGAGTTTTATTGCTCCACTAAGAAAACCAGAGAGGTGTCGAGAAATATAGCAGAAATCCCTGAGGTATCCGAGACCCCGAAGATCAATCGCAGGTATCCGCACACAACTAGGCGTCCCAGGAACCACAACATGCGACCAGGGGACACAAGCTACCAGACAAGACGCGTTCCCGGTGATCACCGGGTATCATGACCCAATCACAACCAACTACCTGTCCTGTCCACTTGCAGCCCGCGAAGTTCTCGCACTCCCCAGCGACCACAACAATCCCACACGCTGCGACTCGACGCGACCAAGTGACGCTCCCGGCAACCTCGCGACATCCGATGAGGCTAAATTCGGCTACCCAATGATTCAGAGAGTTCAAGCGATCTCCAACAACAAAAATCTACAACATCTCCGAGTCTGCTAATGTTTAAGTCGTAAGTGTTCAACCTTAAACCTTTAGATCCGCTACGCATAGGTTTATTGTTGATCCTTCACCGGTCCCAACAAGCCAGGTCCACTCCGCTCAACAACTTAAATAATGTTTCAGTCCACTAACAAAACATCATTGCACTCTCTCATCATCATGAATTATATTTGAGTCTTCGTGTTTAAGATATAATGTCCATCAATTGATTTAATTACTTACAATTAAATTAATCGACATTTATAACCTAGACTAGTACCACCCAAAAATTTATTATTACGTCGTATTAAATTCCACTGGCCTTTAACATAATAATTTTTCATGGGCTCATCTTGGGGACATCATCAAACTACCACACATGGTGACCGTAAATATTCAAACATCACACAATACACACAACATGACTATCTAAAATATGAAGACTACTGACCCAGCAGGATGAATCTCGCTTTTGGTAAATCAAAGTAGCAGATAATGTATTCACGTGTCTGTTTATGAGTTAAGAGTAAACAGTAATTAGCCGAGGCCTAGTTCGTTTACAACGATCAGTATAAAACGAACTTCCCTTTCTCGGATCGTTCAATGCACATAGTGCACTACTTTATCTAATCAATCAAGTTAAACTTTACAATTAACACTACAACTGCTCACGATGGGTTGTTCATTTCCATCTAGGTTGTGAACCGAATATTCATGTTTTACAAGTAACCGATATGTGATCTTATGTCTCATCCGTGATGGGCCACAATATTAACATGTAAAGCATCAGAACGTAGACTGTTCAATTAAACATGATTCTCATTCAAACGGGATCAGTGTAAATAACATATCTAAAGCCAAGCATTCAGTATATACACCAATACAGTCGTGGGCGCGACGAGACAGCGGCGCGATAAGATCAATGGTCTGGGCCATTTGGATGAGACTTGCTGCGTGAGGAGACGGCATCGAGAGGCAGAAGAGATAGGGCAATGGGGCGGCGCAATGGGGTGACTCAAAGCGGCGCGCCGGGAGGGAGAGAAGGGACCGACGAACGTGAGTGGCGTCGAGGATTGTATCGAATTCGCCTGCCGGAGTTTGTGGGTGAGTGTGTTTCGTGTGTGTGTGTGTCTGTGTCTGTGTATGTGTATAGGATGTGTGTGTGTGTTGTATGTTTATTGTGTGTGTGTATGTGTGTGTGTGTGTGTGTGTGTGTGTGTGTGTGCATGTGGTTTTGTGTGTGTGTAAGAGAGATGTGAGGTGCAAGTGGGCTTCACATCCTAGTGGTTGTGTGGTGGCGTGAGTCCCACTGGATGTGGAAAAATTACAACATTACTCTTAATCAAGGTATAATTTAGCCTTTTTTTAACTATTAGATTATCTGATCTAATGGTTACGATTCATTCTTATCTCTTTCATTGAGCATCATTCTCACTGGAGCGTGACTTTATATATATATGGGGAAAATGGGCCTATCTTAAAAGATTAGTGGGTTACTCATCTCATCACCAATTGGTCTTGGGATGGAACCTCACTAAGGTACATTTTGGCTTACTCTCTAGTGGTGCACTACACGTGCATAAGACCGCATCCATTTTCCCCCAATTCTTTCGTGATATCAGAGACAGGCCAACACCGGTCCGGGTCTATATCTCTTTACTCGACCTTTCTCTGTGGGCTTGGGTTTCGTATGAAGTGTCACTAGTGAGAGGACATATTAGAATATTACTTGTAAGTTGTTCTACATCCTTTCTATAGGGAAAATGAGCCTAGCTTATAAGCCTAATGAATTACTCCCCCATCACCAAATGGTTTTGGGATGAAATCTCACTAAGGTACACATAGACTCACCCTCTTATGGTGAGCTTCACGTGCATGACACCGCACCCATTTCTCCTGATTCTTTATATATATATATATATATATATATCTGTGTGTGTGTATGAGTGTGTGTGTGTGTATGCAAGACATATATATTTCCATCACTTAATATGTTTCTACTATACTGACATAACGAAAGACATACAATTACATGGTAATTATATTTGCTCTCCTTCCTTGTCCTCGAAGAAAAAAAGCCCCAAATCAACCATCCTTCGAACGAGCAACGCGCCTCTCTAGGCCATCTCGGCAGCGACCATCACCTGGTCGTGCGGCCGACTTTTGAAGGCTTGTCGGACTGGCGGCTTTCTCTTCTCGGGTGAGGCAATGAGTTTGCCCAAATTGGATTTCGCCTCATATTGGAGGGTATTGGCCGGCAGTTCCCCAGCGTATGGCCCCGACGAGTTTCTGTCGAACCTGCGACTAAGGGTTGTGGCTTCGATAATCTTTTTTTGAGGTGGTTAGGCTGAGATTAGGTCGTTTCGCTTCCATCCCTTGTCTCGTTTTGTCTACTTTTGGACCTTTTGGGTGCATTGGTGGAGTCGAGTCGGGGACGGGTCTTGTGTCCTAGGCCCGGGTCGTCGGGGCTGGGATGATGGAGCTTGTTGATGATCTCCGGTTGCGGGTCTAGGGGTTGTCTGTCTGGGCGGGGCAAGTTTTTTAGTCTCGATGCTAGTTAGGCGTTTATTCTGCAGTTTCTGGCTTGGCGACTTAGACCGGGTTT